CCCAAATATAAGACAAGGTAAAGAAACAAAAGGCCTTGGGCCAGGTCTTGAGAATGTACAGATGAACATGACCTGGTTCCTCCCAGAAGCTCCCGGGGGATGGGGCTGGCCCCAGGTTTGCGGATGAGCACAGTGAAGGGAGATGAGCTACAGCAGAGGTCTGTACAGAAGCCCCAGCCACAAGAGGAGGGAGTCACATCATGTTCTCTACCTAGGAGGTCCAGAAAGACTGCCCCAAGGATGTGCTGCTTGATCCCAAACGAGTGGGGTATCCTGGCCAGAGAAGGACGAAGGGCAATCCAGAAGAGGAAACAGTGTCAGACTTACACTGTAAGCAGAAGGAGGACAGTGCAGAAGGGCATGGTGTGCTTAGGTGTGGGGCACCTCACTGGGACACAGGGTGAGTAGGCAAAGCGCCCACGGAGGACGAGGTGTCATGGAGACCTTTGTGTTTGTCTATGTGATTGTTTGGCCATAGTTTGGAGGGTAGGTGGAAGGAGTAGACCCTAGAGGCAGGAAGCCAAGGGCCTTGGGAATGAAAGAGCGAGGCAAGCCGCAACTGCTGCCTGTGACAAGTGTCTAAATTGTGTTAGCACTGGCCAGGTGCAGTGGCTCACGCTTGTAATCCTAGCACTTGGGAGTCCGAGGCGGGTGGATTGCTCGAGGTCAGGAGTTCGAAACCAGCCTGAGCAAGAGCAAGAGCCCGTCTCTATTATAAATAGAAAGAAAATTAATTGGCCAATTAATATATATAGAAAAATTTAGCCGGGCATGGTGGCACATGCCTGTAGTCCCAGCTACTCGGGAGGCTGAGGCAGGAGGATTGCTTGAGCCCAGGAGTTTGAGATTGCTGTGAGCTAGGCTGATGCCACAGCACTCACTCTAGCCTGGGCAACAAAGCGAGACTCTGTCTCAAAATAAATAAATAAATAAATAAATTGTGTTAGCACTGCGAAGGTGTGCATGACACCCTGTCACACCACAAAAGCAGCCCTCACAGTGGTCTGTACGTGTGGAATACCAGTGCAATCCATGTAGGGATGCCAAATAAAATACAGGATGCCAGTTACATTTGAATCTCAGATAAACAATGAATTTTTTTTTTAGTACAGGTTGAGTATCCATTATCCAAAAGGCTTGGGACAAGATGTATTATGGATTTCAAATGTTTTTAGATTTTGGAATATTTGCATTATACCAGTTGAGCATCCCTAATCCGAAAATCCGGAAATCAAAATGCTCCAATGAGCATTTCTGTTGAGCGTCACATCAGCACTCAAAAAGTTTTGGAATTTGGAGCATTTTGGATTTTTGGATTGGGGATACTCAATCTATATAAGCATGTCCCAAATATTGCATGGGACATATTCAAACTAGAAAATTAATTTATATATCTGATTTAGGACATGCTTATTCTAAAAAAAATTCATTTTCCTGAGATTCCAGTTCAACTGGGTATCCTATATTTTTATTTGCTAAATCTGGCAAACCTAACGCCATGCCCATGGGTTGGTGCCTATTAGAGGGAACTGGGAGGCATGAAGTTTCATGGTTACCAGTTAGTATATGAGAAGGATGACAAGATAGATAAGACCAGTGTCCCCTGAGGTTCCGGCCAGCCAAGCACAGACAGAAGCTTAATTTTAGACTTGGACAGAAGACAGCTCAGAACCCAGGTTTGAGTCCTACTCTGCTGAGTACAGGTGGGCAGCCCAGGCACTCAAGCTTAATTTCCCAGCCTGTAAAATGGGTTTTCAGCTCCACAAATACTTACTGAGCCCTAATTTTGTTCAAGGGTCTGACTTGAATGTTGGGAAGATACAAAAATGAATTCCTCCTTTGAGGGGTTAATCTCTGGGCCAGGTACAAGGATACTAGCACCCAATTACTAGGAGCTGCTTTGCATGTGACATCAACCTTGAAAACAACGCCCAAAGCAACTGTTAGAGAGATGGAATTAGCCCCACTTTTTTTTTTTTTGAGATGGAGTCTCACTCTGTTGCCAGGGCTAGAGAGCCATGGTGTCAGCCTAGCTCACAGCAACCTCAAACTCCTGGGCTCAAGCAATCCTTCTGCCTCAGCCTCCTGAGTAGCTAGGACTACAGGCATGCACCATCATGCCCAGCTAATTTTTTATATATATTTTTAGTTGGCCAATTAATTTCTTTCTATTTATAGTAGAGACGGGGTCTCACTCTTGCTCAGGTTGATCTCGAACTCCTGAGCTCAAACGATCCGTCCGCCTCGGCCTCCCAGAGTGCTAGGATTACAGGCATGAGCCACCGCACCCGGCCTAGCCCCACTTTTAATTAGTGAAAACCAAGGCTCAAAGAGGCTAAATGACTAACAGAAGAGTCAAAGCTGGAGTCAGACTGACCCCCAAGCAGGTGGCAGTCAGAGAACTTGACAATTTGTTAGCCTCACCGTGGAAGTGCATGAGAGGAAGGCAGACTGGTCGAGGCCCAGATGTTGGGAAGACCATAGGGCCTTGGTCCAAAGCCTCATCTGAAGGGGTGGCAGGCCATGAGGGCTTAGGACCCAGGTGAGGAGGCAGGGTCTGCAGGCTGTGTGGGTAGCTGCCCTGTGCAGAGGGAGGGTGAAGTCCATTCCCCAAGGAACAGGGGCAGGTGTGAGCCATGGGGCTGGCTTCAGTCTTCACGTGCTTGCTAGTGGGACCAGAATTCATGTTGTGAGAGGCAGGGCTCATGCCTGAGGCTGCCGGCACCACGGCTCCCATCTCCACCCGTGCCTCTCCTCCAAGGCACTCAGAGGCTCTCTGAACCCCTGCCCCCAGCTCCTACTGGAGGGGCACAAGGTGCCTAGGCTGGGGGAAAACCACATCTGTTTATTCCATGACATTCCCGGACTCCAGTGGGAAAGAGACAAATAATGACTGCATCTCCAAGCTCAGGTAACTCACAACTACTGTATAAATGCATGTGCAGAACAGACAGAATAGAGCTTAAAGGTGCTATGACGGAAGTCTGGGTGGGGTTCAGAGAGTTAGGGCATGGTCAGTTCTCCCTGAAGATAGCTATTTATTGTTCATTGAGCATTTGCTATGCACTAAGCACTTTCCTTGTATTATTTCATCTCACTCTCACCAAAACACCCTGAGGTAGGTATTATTATAATTGTTGTGCCCATTTTATGGATAAGGAAACTGAGGCACAGAGGCTAATCAACTTGCCTGGGGTCACACAGCTAGAAACTGGCAGTTCCAGGATTCAAACCCCATCGGACTCCAGAACCCGTGCTCTCATCCATTATGCTACTACTGTAGAGGGGGCCAGCGGGGAGCAGGGATGACGCTGGAGCCAGGTGCAGGACTCCCCAAGTGGGGCAGGGGCAGAGAAGGGCGTGGGAGGCAGAGAGCAGTCTGAACCGAGGCTGGAGGTGTGGACCTGTAGCAGCTGGGGGCCTGCGGGGAGTCTGTATGCGTTGAAACGGGAGGCTTGGGAACCAGCCTTGCCCTGGGGTCCTCGTGAGCCCTTCTAAGGTGTCTGGATCCCCCAGACCAGGGGATGGGTTGTGGGTTGCAAACAACAGAAAACAATGGTGGCTAATTTGAGCAAAAAGGAGTTTATTGGGAGGATGCAAGGGAGTCACAGAACTCAAGGGAAGAAGAGACTCAAAGGGCAGGAACCGCTGGAACTGCAGTGGGCCTTGTGCACTCCCTACAATGCGGTGCTGTCGCCTCCATGAATCCTCAGGTGTCTCTCTTCATGTCCTCCTCCAGGTGGGGAATCTGATCAGCTTAGGTGAGGTGCCCAGGTCCTGGGTGCTGGGTCCGGGGAGGAAGTGTCAGGCCTGTTCAGTCCCACAGAGGCGAGCAGGCCCTGCAGACAGCCGGTTGTGGGGCCTCGCAAACACCCGTCACATCAGCGCATGGACGATGGCCAGTCAGCAAAGGGTTTTGTTTTGTATTGTAGTGAAATATGTAACATAAGATGTACCATTTTAATGATCTTAAGTCCACAGTTCAGTGGCATTAAGTACATTCACATTGCTATGCAGCCATCACCACGACCTTTCTCCAGTACTTCATCTTCCTCGCCAGAGACCTGCGCCACTGCACACCAACCCCACCCCCTCTCCCTAGCCCGACAACCACCGTTCTACTCTCTATGAATTCGACTATTTTAGGTGCCTCGTATGAATGGACCCATATGTTGTTTGTCCTTTTGTGTCTGGCTCTTTTCATGCAGCATGTCTTCAAGGTTGTAGCAAGTGTCAAAATTTCATTCCTTTCTTTCTGTTTTTAAAAAAGATAGGGTCTTGCTCTGTTGTCCAGTGGTGCAATCATAGCTCACTCCAACCTCAAACTCCTGGGCTCAAGGGATCCTTTCGTCTCAGCATCCAGAGTAGCTGGGGCTACAGGTGTGTGCCATCATGCCTGGCTAACTTTTCAATTTTTTGTAGAGACACGGTCTTGTTTACCATGTTGACCGGGTTGTTCATTCCTTTTAAAGACCCAGGGATATTCCACTGCGTGAACATACTACATTTTATCCATTTATCCACTGATGGACTTTTGTGTTGCTTCCACCTTTTGGTTGCTATTAAATAATAGCCTATGAACTATGAACACAGGTGTACAAATATCTATTGCAATCCCTATTTTCAATTCTTTTGGGTCTTACATGAAGAAGTGGAATTATACTAAAAGATTTTTTTTTTTTTTTTTTTTTGAGACAGTCTTACTCTGTTGCCTGGCTAGAGTGCCGTGGCGTCAGCCTAGCTCACAGCAACCTCAAACTACTGGGCTCAGGTGATCCTCCTGCCTCAGCCTCCTGAATAGCTGGGACTACAGGCACATGCCACCATGCCCAGCTAATTTTTTCTATTTTTAGTTGTTTGGCTAATTTCTATTTATAGTGGAGACAGGGTCTCACTCTTGCTCAGGCTGGTCTCAAACTCCTGAGCTCAAGCAATCCTCCCGCCTTGGCCTCCCAAAGTGCTAGGATGACAGGCATGAGCCACCACGCCCGGCCTATACTAAAAGATTTTAAGGAAGGGAGAAACAGGATCATATTTTGTGTCTTAAGAAATTCATCCTGGCTGCAGTATGGATAGTTTGGAGACATGAGCAGATAAAAGGAAGATCCACTAGGAGGCTAGTGCACTGGTCCAGTGGCTGTGTGGGTGGAGGGGTGCTAAGCAGGTTGGGGCTGGCCAAATAGGGTAGGTGAAGGAGGACAGAGCTGCAGCTGACCCTAGGTTCCTGGCTTGTGTGACTGGGTCAGCTGGCGGTGACACTAATGGCATAGAGAGCACAGGAGCAGGCAAGCTGTTGGATAGTAGTTTGAGATGACTTTTGAGTTGAGATACAGTTCTCCAAGGCAGTTTTAGGTACTGATTTGTAGCTCAGGGCAGAGTTTTGGGTTGTAAGTAAAGACTGACAAGTCTTGAGCAAGAAAGCAGCCCAGTGAGCCTGAGGTCATCAGCAAATGCAAGCAGATTGGAAGGAGGGTCCAGCACTGAACTCGGGTGTCATGACATTTCAGGGGAAGCCAAGAAAAAGGAGCCAGCAGTGTCAGAGCCCCAAGGAGGGTGGCCCCAGCCCAGGCAGCTGAGGCCTGAGTCTGGTGCACTGGGCATTAAGAGATCAATGGTTACCTCTGTGGAGCAGTCAATGGAATGATAAGGGCACCAGGAATAAATTAAAAGGGAGCAAATGGCAACTTGAGAATGTTCTTTCAAGGAGCTTAACCTTAAAAGAAGAGAGCAATGGTAGTAGCTAACAACATATGCTGGTCAAAACTTTTGATTGTTTTCAATGATAAAATGAACATAAAGCATTTAGGACTTGGAGGAAAAAGGGGAGCAAGGTCTCAGATATGAGAGATTTGATCAAAAGCCAGTGAAAAAGTTGGCTTTGAGAAGGGCCCATCTCCTCTGGTGGGGATGGGGGTGAAAGTGGATAGGTCTGGGGAGAATTTAATGGCCTTGACTTGTTCAGACTAGGAGGCAAGGATGAGATGGAAAGAGGCTGGTTTATGCCCCCTGCATGCATGTTCCTAGGCTTCACCTCAGACCAAGTGGAAGAATTTCCAGAAATAAGCATCTCTGGCAAGCTCCTCAGGGGGTCCTGTAGCAGCCACCATTGTACAGCATCCAGTCTGGGCTCAAAGGAGCCTGAAAGGGAAGTGGGAAGAAGGGCCGGACTTGGGAAGGCGTTTGGTGTCCAGGCATCTGCCCTGGGCACTGGGGGAACTCTCAATAGCCTCACCTCGAGGCTTCCACTTCAGGCAGCCCTGCCTTGGAGGGAGCAGATGGGTGACTGGACAGAAATAGATGTTGTGGGGGCAGTGATCTACCACAGGGCAACTAGAATGAGGCCAGGCTGGCAGCCCCTGGACAAAGGGACAACCCTGGTGACAGCACAAAGAAGGCTTGGCATGTTGGGCCTCATACCCTCAGCTCTGCCTTTGGTCCAATAAAAGAAACACAGTCTATAAATAGGCAGAAACTCTTTAATCAGGATTTTAAAAAAAAATTTTAAATGAAATCCTAATTTTTCCTTAAACTGCACATTCTTAGTTCCCCAGGGAGAGAACAGTTTGCTGTGGTGATATCAACTTAGCATCATCTGGCTAGTTCTGATTCCGTAGGACTGACACATTTCAGAGTTCCGCCCTGCCAGCAAGTGAGGGTAAGAGTTCAGGTGTGGTCCAGCTCAAGGACATCTGGGTGTACCCTGGCAAGGCAGCTTCCTTGCAGGGTCTGATAAAGCACGAAGCATCGAGCAGATAGCTTTGCAGGTTTCATGAGAGCCCACCAGGCCTGCACCATTTCATCCCAGTGCCTTGACCCGGCGCTCAGTTTTTCCCCCAGCTCCTCGGCACTCCTCTGAGTCTGTCTCCATGAACTTGACATCCAAAGGTGCAACAGCCTGGAGTATGATGGGATTGTGGGGGGCAGGGCAGCCTTTGAAACCACACCTTTTACCAGTATTGAGAGCAGGAAAAGGTGGAGAAAATTCCCCATAGGCAATGGGATGCATCTCTCACCCTTCAACTCCTAGCACCTCCCTCAAGCAGTGTTCTCAGAGTGCGAGCACAATAAGGAGACCAAATATTAAAATTGCTATCAATTCCTGCTGCTTTCTAGTATGTGAGAAAAGCTTCTTAGAACTTTACAAGTGTAGTTTTAAAATGCAAGTAGGACTAGGACCCTTCAACTCATAATTTTTTCCTCTAGGGCCTAGTAGACTCTGTGTACCTTATTTTGTAAGAAATGGGTGTGAGTGACAAGATGGGGTACCTTCTGCCCCTGTAGCAGAGTGGCAAGCCGCCAGAGTGGCTGGGCCCTGTGCAGGTGGCCACCCCAGAAGCGTGAACCTCAGGAGCCCACAGCACTTGGTGGCCCATCCTGAAATGTACCCTTTTTGCATCAAGCAGCCCGAGCTCCATTAGCCTGGCATTTACCAAACATCCCAACAGAACACAGAACTATAACACAGCTTCTATGTAGTAAACACTTGTAGCCTGAGACCCAACTAAGGCTTCCCTCCCTCCTTCAAAACTTAGATTTTACAGGTTGAATGCGCAGCTTCTTCCTCAAACATGGAACCGTCCCCAGCCCATGAATGTTCTCCTGGACCATCTACAGAATCTATAAGGAAACCCACAGAACCCAAAGCCTCTTTACATGGATGGGCTGGTGGCTGGGACCCAACACCAACAGAAGGCAACTCAGGAGGGAGAGCCTGAGGCTGCCTCTGCCCCGGGGCCTGTTTCTGTTGGGGCTGTCTCAGAGCAGCCACCCTTCCCGAGGCAGAGGTGCCCTCTCACCTCCATTCCTCATCTTTTTAACCTATTCTGGCTGGGCCAGTGGTTCTTCTCCCCAGTCTGTGGCCCAACTGGAAACTGGCTGCACTACCTTGGGGAGGTAGGAAGGAGAGGATGACTAGAGACAGGACACCAGTGAGTGGCCCGGCGGCCCCGTTTCCTCAAATAGAGATGGCTGCCAGCGCTGCACAAACCCTCAGAGGTGGCCAGGCCTCACATGCAGCAACGGCACACGCACAGGTAACAAGGCTGGAGGAGGGGAATTCCAAGTATGCTCTCCATGGGGGGGGAGGGCTATATACAAGGAGAGAGGAGTCTGGCCAGGTGCACCCCACCGCATCTCATTCAACCAGGAGATCAAACTGCTCAGCAGCTTCAAACTCGGCATTCATGGCCGCGGCCCACTCATCCAGCTCTGATTTCTGGGGGAAGAGAAATGGGAGGCAGGTGAGTGAAGAGGGGGGACACGGTGGCCGGAGCATCTCACCCACACCCTGTAGGTGCTACCTAGCCCCCAAAAGTGCCAGAGCTGCACCCCTGCCCCTCACTCACCAGGATCTCGGGCACCTTCTTCTTTCGTTTCTGTTTCACTACTGGAGGCGAGATTCCAGGAAGGGTCGTGTCTGGGGCCCAAGGCTTCGCTGGGACCCTGGTGAGCTCGGTTGACTTTGAATATACCACAGGCGAGACTCCCAACAAATCTTCTGCCCCTAGCAGCCTCTCAAAGCCAAAGCAGGAGCGACGGCCCGGGGTGGAGGTGGAGGCAGAGGCAGAGGCCAGGGTCTCTAGCCGACTGTAGGATCGCCTGACTTTCTTAGACATTTCCACATCCCTGGCATCTAGGCTTCCTTCACTAGAGTTGGACTCAGCACTCAGGCTGTGCACAGGAGTGGTGGCTGGGGTGCCTGGGACACTATGGATCTTGAAAAGGTCCTCTTTAGTAGGCTCCCTGTTAGGAGGGTTGTTTTCTTTCTCCAAGAAAAAAGAAATCTGCAACATGACACAAGAATGACTTTCTGTTACTTAGCAGGAATACTTGCTTCCACAAAAGCCCCAGATTTAGGGTGGAAAAGACAGACCCATAGGACGAACACTTTAAAAGAAAAGAGACAAATCAGCCCATGAAAGAGATGTGCGGAAGAGGAAAAAACAATCTTGTCATTGCTTCTGAGGAGTCTACTTTTGTGACACAAAAAGACTTGCCAGCTGGGCGCGGTGGCTCACGCCTGTAATCCTAACACTCTGGGAGGCTGAGGCAGGCGGATTGCTTAAGGTCAGGAGTTCGAAACCAGCCTGAGCAAGAGCGAGACCCAGTCTCTACTATAAATAGAAAGAAATTAATTGGTCAACTAATATATACAGAAAAAAATTTAGCCGGGCATGGTGGCGCATGCCTGTAGTCCCAGCTACTCAGGAGGCTGAGGCAGGAGGATCGCTTGAGCCCAGGAGTATAAGGTTGCTGTGAGCTAGGCTGACGCCACGGCACTCACTCTAGCCTGGGCAACAGAGCAAGACTCTGTCTCAAAAAAAAAAAAAAAAAAAAAAAAAAAAAAAAAAAAAAAAAAAAAAAAAAAAAGAAGACTTGCCATCATCTGCTGGTGCTGTCAGCTATTTCCAAAATGTGCCCAGTACCCAGTCGCCTCTGACTGATGTGAGCCCCTACTATGCATTTTCTAGAACAGCTCGGTGACCTCTGGATTGATCTCCCTGCTTCCACCCTTGCACTCTACAGTCTGTCTGCCGTGCAGCTGATGAGGATTGTTCTAAGACATCCAGTCAATAAGTACTTATTGGCACTTGTCCTGTACCAGGCACTGGGAGTACAGCTGGGAATAAAGCAGAGAAAACCCCTGCTGACATGGAGCTTCCATTCCGTGGGAAACAGACAATAAGGAATCATGTATTAGGTTAGAGGTATGAGGTGCTACAGAAAAAAAACAGAACAGGATAGAGTATTGGGGTTGGGTTAGAATTTTAAGTAGGTGAAGGACAACGTTGGCCTCACTCAGATGACATTCAAACTACAACTTGAAGGAGGTGAGGGAGTCGACATCTGGAGGAAAAGAGTTCTAGGCAGCAGGAACAGAAGGTGCAAAAGCCCTGAGGCTGAAACATGCCTGTCAGGGTCAAGGAAGGAGGAAGCCAGCGTGGCCAAAGTGAAAGGAAGTAAGGTGAGAGGAACTGAAGATGATGTTCAAACAGTAATGGGTGGCATTACAGGGCATTCTACAGGCCAGTGACAGGGCTTTTTGCTGAGAGACCAAGAGAGCCACAGCAAGCCTTTGCCGGGGAAAGGCACAATCTGACATGTGCATTAGAGGCTCACACACTGTTCCTCATGATTCCACTCTCAGTTCACATGCTGCTTCCTCAGGGAGGCCATCACCTACCAGCCCCTCCTCACCTTTGCTAGCTACTCTGTCACATGACCTTTCATTTTCTGCATAGCACCACTGCTGTCTGATTTTGGCTGGTTCCCTGGTTGACTGTTACCCCAACTAGGATGTGAGCTCACAAGAGCAGGGATCTTAGGCTGGGTGCAGTGGCGTACCCCTATAATCCTAGCACTGTGGGAGGCCAAGGCAGGAGGATGGCTCAAGGTCAGGATTTCGAAACCAGCCTGAGCAAGAGCGAGACTCCGCCTCTACTAAAAATAGAAAGAAATTAATTGGCCAACTAAAAACATACACAAAAAATTAGCCGGGCATAGTGGCACATGCCTGTAGTCCCAGCTACTCAGGAGGCTGAGGCAGAAGGATTGATTACTTGAGCCCAGGAGTTTGAGGTTGCAGTGAGCTAGGCTCATGCCACAGCCACTCTAGCCAGGGCAACAGAGTGAGATTCTGTTTCAAAAAAAAAGCAGGGATCTTCATCTGGACGGCCAACCTTATCTATGCCCAGTACCTACAGCAGAGCCCTACACATCACAGGTGCTCAGTAAGTATTCACTGGGCGAGGGAGGGAATGGGCAATATACGTAACCTTAACATTTGTACCCCCATAATATGCTGAAATAAAAAAAAAAAAAAAGTAAGTATCCACTGAATTAATGCACATGGAACTTGGCACTGAGTTTTCTGGTGGACAAGACAAGAGGGGAAATTGGGCAAATTCAATGACTCTTGTGGTCTAATGTAAGGAAGTACATCAGTTATCAAGAGAGATGTTTCCTGGCTATAAGCTCTGGAGAGTCTTCCCCTTGGGTCTTAGGAAAAGGGATGCTGAATGGAATGGGGGTCACTCCTGACTACTTCCTCATCCCCTTACAGTCAAGCAGTCACCCGGGTCCTTGAAGCTTTATCCTGCTCACTGTTTCACCAATCTATCAGTTAACCAACAAGAATGAGTGGCCATCCTGGAGAGGCAGCAATCCCTGCCCTCAAAGCACTTATGTTCTTAGAGGGGAGAGAAAGTCAACATACAAGCAAACACTATCAGATATTGGTAAGGCCTAAGGAGAATTACACAGAGAATGTGCCAGTGATAGGGTAAGAGTGGTCAGGGAAGGCCTCTGGAAGGAGGTTCTCTCTGAGCTTAGTCCTGTGTAATAGGACAGTCATGTGGAGGGGACTGTCCCTCCAGGGAAGAGCGGCGCCACCCTGCCATTACCTTAGTTCAGGTGCACAGACACACCACACTACTGTTCCCCAAACCTCATGATTTTTCTTTGGACTATAGATCTCTGCACCTGGCTTCCTTTACCTGGAACACCTCTGCATGTCTTTAAAGACTCAGTTTCTGGTTTTTTTTTTGTTAGACAGAGTCTCACTTTGTCGCCCTGGGTAGAGTGCAATGGTGCCATTGTAGCTCACTGCAACCTCAAACTCCTGGACTCATGCAATCCTCCTGCCTCAGCCTCCCAGGTAGCTAGGACTACAGGCACGTGCCACCGCATCCAGCTAATTTTTTCTATTTTTAGTAGAGACAGGGACTCACTCTCGCTCTCACTCTTGCTCAGATTGGTGTCAAATTCCCGATCTAAGAGCGATCTTCCTGCCTCACCTCCCAGAGTGATAGGATTATAGGCATGAGCCACTGTGCCTGGCATAAAGACTCAGTTTATTTATTTGTTATTATCTTTATTTTTATTTTATTTATTTATTTATTTTTGAGACAGAGTCTCACTCTGTTGCCCGGGTTAGAGTGCCATGGCATCAGCCTGGCTCACAGCAACCTCCAACTCCTGGGCTCAAGCGATCCTTTTGCCTCAGCCTCCCGAGTAGCTGGGACTACAGGCATGCGCCACCATGCCCAGCTAATTTTTTCTGTATATTTTTAGTTGGCCAATTAATTTCTTTCTATTTTTAGTAAAGATGGGGTCTCACTCTTGCTCAGGCTGGTTTCGAAATCCTGACCTTGAGCAATCCTCCTGCCTCGGCCTCCCAGAGAGCTAGGATTACAGGCGTGAGCCACTGTGCCTGGCCCCTATTTTTTTTTATTTATTATTTTTTGTTTTTAAAAAACTGTTTATTTATTTATTTACTTTTCTCTTTTTTTTTGTCAAGAACATGTGTAGAAATAAAGACTCAGTTTAAATGTTTCCTCTTCAGTGAAACATTCCCTGAGTTAGGTGCCATAATATCATCTAGTATTCCTCATTGCAGCACCCAGTACATTATGTTGTAATCACTTGCTCATTTGTTTTTCTCCTCACTTGACTCTAAACCCCATCAGCTCTTCAAAGTTAGCATTTCTCATTCATTACATCTTCAGATTTTCTGTTAATGAAACATCCTTGATAATAACCTCTGCTAAAACTATAAAAAATGTCATACTACCTGTCTTATCTTAGAACCACCATAAAAACCATGACAAAATGGATTAGAAAGAAGACAGAGTGCCTGTAGTTAGGACACAGCTCAGCTTTTAAGGGAAGCTCTAAGGAGAATGGCAGAATATACAAGGTATAAAGAGCTAAATGCATTAAAACTGCAGGGAGCAATCAAGACTGGCAGTACATGCAGATGTTTCACACTGCAAAACAGCTTCCCAGGCAGATGTGAGCACTGCCAGCTCTAGAGTTAACTAGACCACTCAACCTAATTCCAGTGAACTAAGTAGATGAAAGTGAACTCACCCTTGGGCTCCTGTGAGACGACTGGCCAGCTGGGACCTGTGGGGACAATACCAGTTGATCACATAGCTAGCTCCTAGTTTCGCCCCCCTACCACAACTTCCCTACCCACCTTAGCCCTTACCTCTACAGCATGGGCCACAATCTTCTTCAAGACGATGGGCTTTCTGACTGGAGCCGCCTGGGGTGCCTGGAGAAGAGGAGTTAACATGAGCTCTACATTAGCCCAGGGACCTCTAGGGAAGGAACTGAGAAACCTGGAGCTCACCTTCGGCCAGATTTCAGGGAGTATGCTCGGGAGATCAGAGCCTGATTTCCGCTGGGATCTCCGCAAAGAATTAGAAGGAGATGGGGTTCTGAGCCCTGGAAAGAGAAAATAGTTAAGAGGTAGAAGTAGGCCGGGCGCGGTGGCTCACGCTTGTAATCCTAGCACTCTGGGAGGCCGAGGCGGGCGGATTGCTCAAGGTCAGGAGTTCAAAACCAGCCTGAGCGAGACCCCGTCTCTACTATAAAAATAGAAAGAAATTAATTAGCCATCTAATATATATATATATAAAAAATTAGCCGGGCATGGTGGCTCGTGCCTGTAGTCCCAGCAACTCGGGAGGCTGAGGCAGTAGGATTGCTTAAAAAGCCCAGGAGTTTGAGGTTGCTGTGAGCTAGGCTGACGCCACGGCACTCACTCTAGCCTAGGCAAGAAAGCGAGACTCTGTCTCAAAAAAAAAAAAAAAAAAAAAGAGGTAGAAGTAGAATCTAGGCCCTTGAACCTAGAAAACAGGTTCTAGAGAGAGCGAGAAACTTCCCAAACATGCCCTTTAGGGGCGCCTCCTCCGGCGGTGGCAGGGGCGAAGGGGAGGGACATTCTTCACAGTACTGCGTCCCCCAAACGGCTCGGCCCCATCTCTCCCGCGCGCATCTGCTCACCGGAGCGCTGAGCGGCACCCCCGGACCGCGTTCGCCTCCCAGACATAATTAGTCCCGGTCTCGACCTCCTCCTGCACGGCCGGCCCGGGTACCAACCAACCCCGAGGGCTGCCTGCCCCAGGAAACGTTCGAATTACCCGCTCTGCAGGGGAGGAAGCGGAAGTGACGTAGGCTGGGGGCCGCCTCGTCGGATTACCACCCCGCCCCGCCATCACCCGTCTTCACTTCTAGCGTCACAGAGGCGTGGCCTAGTGGCGCGCTGGCGTCATCAGCGCGCGCCGCACCCGGAAGAGACGTGGCAGCGGAGGGATAATCGGAACAGCTGGGGCTGAAGAAGACCGGGCGGGAGAATCGGAGAGCGCAGTCTCTGGCTTTCTGCGCCTCGAACCATCTCTCGTGCCAGTCCGGACCGGTGCCGCGGCCGATCAGTAACACGGAGACTGGGGTCTGTAGGAAAGGGGGCGGGGCCTGGAGGGGGTGGGGCTCAGGAGGGACTCTAGGGGCGGGACCGGTGGTATCCGGGCATCGCTGATGGAGGTGCCGGGCCGGGGGCGGGATCCAGGAGGAATGAGGGGTCGCGGGAGGCGGGGTTTATGCAGGGGGCGTGACTCAGCATGGGGAGGGGCGGTGGGCAGGAATTTGGGGTCAGGGTTAATATGAGAGGTGTCTGAGGGAGTTTAACAGTGGAAACGAATTGGGCCACCAGAGCCTGGCTACCTACCAAATTAGACCCCTTCTCCAGGGTTGACCATGGGGCTTTGCAAGTGCCCCAAGAGGAAGGTGACCAGCCTGTTCTGCTTTGAACACCGAGTCAACGTCTGCGAGCACTGCCTGACAGCCAATCACGCCAAGGTGGGGCCTTCATAGGAGCGACTGAGCAGGGCACTGGGTGGGCAGGCGGTATTGACTCCTCCAAATCCATAAGAGGCCCGGAAATGGAATGTAAGCTCCACGTGGGCAAGGACTTGGTTTATTTTGTTCACTTCTTTATTCCCAGTCCCGAGGACAGAGTCTGACAAACAGTATGTACTCAATAAATGTTCATTGATTGAACAAACAAAAGGATGAGTCTCCTCTGCGTCAAGAGAAAAAGAGGCAGGTGGGCCTTATGATAGGCTGTGGAACCCCTGCACTAGTTGTGATATTTCTCTCCTACTCCAGTGCATCGTCCATTCCTACCTGAATTGGCTCCAAGATAGCGAGTACAACCCTAATTGCCACCTGTGTGATACGCCCCTGGCCAGTCGGGAGACGACCCGCCTCATCTGCTATGGTGAGGCCTTGGCACCTTGAGGGGATCAGGGACACCTCAGGGCCCAGCTTGGTGACTGGTTTCCAGGCCTTCCTCAAGCAGCAGGACAGTGAGTCTCCCAAGTCTGAGAGGCCAGAGGCCCATATTCTGGTCCTGTTAAGTTACTTACCTGCTGTGTAAGCTGACGCAAGTCATTTTCCCTTTCTAGGCTTCCGTGTCTTTCCTAAAAATTAAAACTTCTAGTTACTACCCTGCGGATCTTAGAGGGTTGAGTGAGAGCCAGTCAAGCTTGTAGGTGTGGTTGTGGCTATGGCTGTGAACACTACCTGGCCGGACCAGGGGCTTTCAGATATTCAGGATCCACTACTTATCCGAAGACTAAACAGAGAGGAAGTAAGTTTCCCATGTTAAAGTTAGCTAAAAGAAGTCAACAGACATATGTGTCATAAGTGGAACCTGAGTCTGGCATAAGAGCCTCAGCTCCAGTTTTTGAGAGAGTTAGTGCAAAAGATGCAGCTCTACAGGTATCTCTCATAATGAGTGTGTCTCCTTGCATGAATGTAATGCACACTGTGTCTACATGATTGTGTTCATTAGTACTTGTGGGTGGGTGAATGGGTAAATGTATGTATATGAACATATGAACATATAATGTTGTGTGAATACAAAGGGAATACATGATTGAGGGTGCTTGAGTGTTAGTAAACATGTGAGTGTATAGATGTGTATATGTGAGGACTAGTGTGCCCGTAAGTGTAGATATAGGGAATGGCCCTTGTTTGATTATGTCTTTTTTTTTTTTTTTTTTTTTTGAGACACAGTCTTGCTCTGTTGCCCAGGCTAGAGTGAGTGCCCTGGCGTCAGCCTAGCTCACAGCAACCTCAAACTCCTGAGCTCAAGCCATCCTCCTGCCTCAGCCTCCCAAGTAGCTGGGACTACAGGCATGCGTGGCTAGTTTTTTCTATATTTTTAGTTGGCCAATTAATTTCTTTCTGTTTTTAGTAGAGATGGGGTCCTGCTCTTGCTCAGGCTAGTTTCAAACTCCTGACATTGAGCAATCCTCCCGCCTTAGCCTCCTAGAGAGCTAGGATTATAGGCATGAGCCACCACGCCCGGCCACAGTACGTCTACACGTACTGTGTATACGTGTATACACACGTATATTTGTGCCCATGGATGTGTGCAAGCTTATGTGTGTTTGTGTATTTATCTAGGTACCTTTTCTGAAACTCTTCTTTATCAGCCATTAGCCCAAAGAGTGTGGTAGGTGCAGGCCCAAAGAGGACTCGCTGAAAGGGGAGATGGCATTTTCTTCCACCCAACTCCACCTCCCTGTGGGCAGCTTGGTACCATCTGCCTTGACTTAGTCAAATGGTGGTAGCCAAGAAGGCTGAAGTCTTGGGGAACGCTGATGGAAATGGACCCAGGGTGAGGAGGGAGAGGAGAAGGCTCTGGTGTACACGTATGTGCCCATACATCCCTGCAGTGATCTAGGGTCATTGCTGGGTTAGGAGTCCTCAGTGTCTTCTTCCTCATGTCTTTTCTCCCCTATCTCACGGGCCCTAAGATATCTTTCACTGGGCCTGCATCAATGAACGTGCCGCCCAGCTACCCCAAAACACTGCGCCTGCTGGCTACCAGTGCCCTGTCTGCAATGGCCCCATCTTTCCGCCAAACAACCTGGATGGTCCTGTGGTTTCTGCACTGAAAGAGAAGCTGGCCACAGTCAACTGGGCCCGGGCAGGATTGGGCCTCCCTCTGGTGAGAGTCTGTCTGTCTGTCTGTCTGTCTGTCTGTCTGACCATCTGTCTGCCTTGGGTGCCACCTCAGCCAGATGGGTGGGTGGGCACAGTACTGGGCAGGCTGGTGACACAGGTTCCTTCCTCCAGATTGATGAGGTGGTGAGTCCAGAGCCTGAGCCCCTCGACACTTCTGACTTCTCTGACTGGTCAAGCTTTAATGGTAAGTAGTGGCTTCCACCTGCTGTTCGAGCCTTAGCCTCCCTGCTTTGCTGACAGCTCTCTCTCTACCCACAGCCAGCAGTACCTCCAGACCAGAGGAGATAGACAGCGCCTCTGCTGCCCCAACCTTCTACAGCCAGGCCCCCCGGGCCCCTGCTTCCCCAGGCCGGCCCGAGCAGCACACGGTGATCCACATGGGCAATCCTGAACCCTTGACGCACGGTAAGCCAGGGATTGTCCAGGCCAGAGAAAGGTAGACAGGAGGTGGGATGGTTCATATGGAGGGAGTTAAAGGATCCAGAGACCCCCCCTTGGGGGGACTCTTCTCTACTCCAAGCACAGGCATTACCTTCCCTCCAATTCTGAGACAAACTGTCAGACTGTGGAGGGCAGGAGATCCCCTGCCCCTCTGCAAAGGAGCCAGTTTCCCTGAGTCTGTTGATGCTAGTGGCTCCACCTTATAGCCCCGAGGAAGGTATATGACACACGGGATGATGACCGGGCACCGGGCCTTCATGAGGATTGTGACGATGACAAGTACCGTCGCCGGCCTGCCCTGGGCTGGCTGGCCCAGCTGCTCAGGTACACGGGGTCAGGCTGGGCAGGATGCTAGGAAGCAGGGAGGAGAGGGAGTGAGAGCCAGAGGCCCTGGGAGGGACAGTTTCATGATGAAAGGAGCTTGTTCTACTGCCTCAGCTGGGCAGTAAAAACCTTGGTACATCCCTCTCTTGGGCTGTCTCTTTGTCTCCTTTGTGGCAGCTTTGGACTCAGACTCTTTGAGGCCCCTTCCTGCTTTGACACCCCCTAATCTTTGAAACTCCCCCATGCCTGACACTTCTTGGTTTCCAGAACACAGTCCTGTGTCTCATGTGCTTTGAGCTGCACAGTAACTCTGTATAGTGGCAGGTGCAGAAATGATCATCCCCATGGCACAGACGATGAAACCAAGGCTCAGGGGTGGTGACCAGGGCTCCTCTCCAGGCATGGGGGCCACCAGGGGCTGAGAGCCTGACCTGACTTTCCCCTCGTCCCTCCCAGGAGCCGGGCTGGGTCTCGTAAGCGGCCACTGACCCTGCTCCAGCGGGCAGGGCTGCTGCTACTGTTGGGGCTGCTGGGCTTCCTGGCCCTCCTTGCCCTCATGTCTCGCCTGGGCCGGGCTGCGGCTGACAGCGATCCCAACCTGGACCCGCTCATGAACCCTCACATCCGTGTGGGGCCTTCCTGAGCCCTGGCTTGTGGCTGGGCCAGCCTAGGACCTGGGGTCCTGCAGAGGGGAGGCGGGGATGCCTGGGGGCTCCTCTTCTGTGCTCCTCACCCTCAAGCCTGAGACACTAAGATCCCAGGCCCAAGCCAAGTCCACCAGAGTGGCTGCAGGCTGGGCCTGGGGTCCCTGTAGGTCAAGCATTTGTCTTGACCTGCCTCTCCCGGGTCTCCAGCCTCCCACCCCCACACCACGAAGGAGCTGACAGGTGGAAATAAACGATAGACTTTACTAAAACACCCGAAGCAGACTTTTCCTTCTCCCTCCTCGGCCCTGTCCTCAGGCCCCAGGCCTCAGTGGTTCTCCTGCCGGTAGTGGATGGCCAGAAACTCCAGAGACATGCGGTTGAAGAACATGACTCCATTGAGCACTAGGCAGAGGAGAGAGCCCCCATCAGTCCCAGTAGCCTCCTCTGCCACCTCCTTGCCACATCTCAGGGTTCCAAAGCTCCCTCTTCCCTTAGCATCCCCCCTACTCTCACCACTTACTTAGGATGATCAGGGAAAAGCTCTGAAGTAAACTGTTTTCCATCATCTCCGAGTAGAGTGACCCCATGGCAGCCCAGCAGATGCTGATCACCTGGGAGAACTGTAGGCCACGTAGTGGGAGAGTGGCCCGACACAGAAGTGCAGTTTCCATCAGCCCCTCTGGCCTACCCCAGCTAGCCCTTGAGTCCCTGCCTCGGGCCTACCGTCAGGACGACTGTGTAGTGGAAGCTCATATGCTCATAGTGGTGGGTGACACACAAGTTGTGCACGTCGCTGGTAAAGACACCCAGGTGTATGAAGAAGAGCATCAGCGCAGCCATGGTGAGCATCATGCCCTGAGGGAAGAAGAGCACAGCCAAGCGGTCCTGCCACCGCATTGCACCCAGAGTATAGACACACGTCAGATGTGAGCAAGCAGGCACTGCCTAGGAAAAGTGGCAGAGCCCTGTGGTTCTAGAGTGCCCAGTCTAGATTGGCAGTGGGATTCTAGAACCAGGAAGACAGTGGAGGAGACAAGATTTCAGAACACAGGCTGATTGCAGCCAACACAAGGGTGTTTCATGGGTGGTCGGGAATGCTTTGAATTTTGGAGGGGTGGGCAAAAGGAGTAGACCAGTGGAGGCCCATGGCATTGTTGAAGGGACAGCTCCCTCATCATCCCACCCCTCACTCTGGACACTTTGGGTGCATGTCAACTGTCCTAGAGAGGAGGTAGTGTGGGCACATTCTACAGATGAAGAATTGAGGCTCAGAAAAGTTGAGGGACATATTCTAGATTTTAAGCAGATGAGAGATTGGGACCCAGGTGTGTAGCTGGAAGGTATTCCCAGGTGATGGGGGCCCTGGGCTGGATCCCAAGTTCCAAATATTTGCACCCCCTATGATGGAAAGAAACCTAAGGGAAGGGCAGGACAGTGGATTCACCAAAGCTGTCCTGGGACCTTCCCTATCCCCTCCCCAGGTATAGTCCAGAGTTCATGTGGCTCCTGTGTCCTCTCCCCATATGTTCTTACAAGGCCCACTGCTGATCAGCTTTCCCCTCTATGCCACCTTGTGGGTTGCTGAGAGCATTTTCAACTCATTGCTGTCATCATTCCAAGAGTCCCATGAGAAAGCTGGGTGCAGGTGGCATAAACTATTTTACACTTGAGTTAAGGCACAGAGAGGGATTGTCTCACTCAAGCTATCACAGCCAGTGAATGAGGGAGTCAGTACTGAACCTAAGATCCGATTTTACCTGAGGCTGTTGCCCCAGCAGGGATAGATGCAAGCCAGGAAGTTTTCTCCATCAAGTAAGAGGTGAGATCTCCATGGCTGTCAACAAAATAAGCCAGAAAAACAGCCAGAAATGGTGTGGAGTAACATGCAGGATCCCAGGGATTGAAGTAGGAGAAGAGGAGGGAGGAAGAGAGGACTTGGTGTTGAACTCAGCCACCCCATTGCCTCCTGCTCAACTGTCTACCCCAAAAGTTAGTTCCCAGGTCAGGCAACCCAAAGTCTTCTGCCTCTAAGTAGTAGGATTAAAGCCTGACCCCAGCATCCATGCTTGCTGCCCAATCTGTCACCAATCACAACAGTTCTTCAGACTCCCATGCTAACCACATTGAAGGGGTGATGCCCCAATGCCCAGCTGTGATCTCCCTGTTGAAACAATTATTAGTTCCTCAGTTCTCCTTCGAATAACAAATTAACTTTTATGCATTAAAATTCCCAGCTTGATGCCATTTAAAAAATTATCCAGCTACGTGCACCTGTACTCCCAGCTACTTAAAAGGCTGAGGTAGGATCACTTGAGCCCAGGAGTTCGATACAGTTTGGACAATATAGTGAGACCCCATTTCATTCATAAATAAATAAATAGAAAAAATTATCCAACTAACATATGAATATGTTCTGTTAAAAGACTTGCATAAAGCACAAGCATACAGAGGAAAATGTAACAGTCTCCCTCTTGTACCTCCACTCCTACAGAGGTTAGTAACCGCTTCACCAGTTGTATGAATCAGCATCTTTTGGGTCCTTTTTTATGTAACTTCATACATCTAGATGTACATATACATGCATAATTTTTAAAACACTTTAAAAATTCACACCACATATTATCAGAGTATAATTTTTAAAAAGTTAAAAATATGACATCTAAATATACAATGAACATGTAACTAAGATTTATTAATTCATCAGTGAGGGGGTTCCACTTAAGTACCGTGTTTCCCTGAAAATAAGACCTACCCATAAAATAAGCCCTAGCAGGATTTCTAAGCATTTGCACAATATAAGCCCTACCCCGAAATAAGACCTAGTGATGGGCGTGGCTACGCACTGTATCTGCACAACCCATGCATTTCGTCACGGAGCAGTTATGAAGACAAGCAGCCCTTCTCCTCTGCCCCGTGAGAGCTCTATTGCTCGACATGAGAGATTGGGGCCAATGGTTCTAAAGGAAATAGAGTCGCAAGAAATTCAGGATGGAATTCGGGGTTTGGAGAGTTATGATGATGTTCCAGAAAAAGACGACTTAACTATATTTGAATAAATGTAGATTATTGTACCATTCTTTAAAAAAAAAATAACACATCCCCTGTAAATAAGCCCTAGGGTGTCTTCTTGAGGAAAAATAAATATAAGACCCTATCTTATTTTCGGGGAAATATAGTAAGCTGGTAAGTCACCTTGAGCTGATGTGGATATGTATTTAAAGAGGAGTGTTAGAATATGATTACTAGGTCAGACACAAAACTGGTTGATGTCCTACAGGACAATAAAAGTTATAACCTTTGAGGTTACTTTTTCTCCTGAAAATAAATGTTTTTAATCTCTCCTGGACAATATTTACTTATAATTTCAAAGTCTACTTACCTTAATAGCAAAATCAAACAACTACTGTTATTCCTGTGGGTAATTAACCACTTCGGTATGGTACTCACCGGCCGTGAAACCTTGCCCGCAGCAGGCACTCATAGTCCGCACGGTACTTTGTGCTGTGCATTGACGATGAATCTGTTTTGCTCTTGTGTGATGAGGAAAGCTTTAAAGCACTGAAAGCTTGTTTTACTTTACAGGCAGCTTTACTTGTAATGTAAATCAGAATAGGTAACATATACATATATGTTTTCATTACATTATTTTTAAATGTTCACAATTTTATTTTGATAAATGAAAAATCAGAAAAGTCATATTGCAGCTGTCAGCTAAAGTCAACCCTCGGCTGTGCGCATTCATCTGTAGCTATCCACTATAGTACACGCTCGTACTGAAGTGGTTAAATAATCCTTGGGTGGGCTTGTGAAGCAATGCCCAGTATGACATTAAAAGAACATGCTACACTCCTGGTCTTCCAATTTTTAGATAATTTTTCTTAACAGTATTCTGTAACTTTTAAAAACTTTATAAATTTCTTGGAGTAGATCTAAATCTTTATATTATTTTTTTTCATTTTCTTTTCTTTTTCTTTTTTCTTTTGAGACAGAGTCTCGCTTTGTTGCCCAGGCTAGAGTGAGTGCCGTGGTGTCAGCCTAGCTCATAGCAACCTCAAACTCCTGGGCTCAAGTGATCCTCCTGCCTTAGCCTCCCGAGTAGCTGGGACTAAAGGCATGTGCCACCATGCCTGGCTAATTTTTTTTTCTCTACATATTAATTAGTTGGCCAATTAATTTATTTCCATTTATAGTAGAGACGGGGGTCTCACTCTTGCTCCAGCTGGTTTTGAACTCCTGACCTCGAGCAATCCGCCCACCTCGGCCTCCCAGAGTGCTAGGATTACAGGCGTGAGCCACCACGCCCAGCCTTTTTTTCATTTTCTTAAGAAAATGAAAGCTGGTGACAGCTTCATAGGCTGAAATCTTCATGTGTATTTTGTAAACAGTCTCTAAACATTCCATTGATTCAGAGGTCAGTAAACTTTTTCTGTAAAAGACCAGATAGTAAATGCTTTAGGTTTCTTGGGCTATATGGTCTCTGTGACAACTACTCAACTCTGCTGTTGTAGTGCAAATGCAGCCATAGATATGGGCATGGCTGTATTCCAATAAAACTTCATTTATGGACATTGAAATGAATTTCATATAATTTGCAAGTCCCATGAAATGTTTTCTCTCCAACCGTTTAAAAATGGGGAAAAAAAATTTCCAGTTCACAGATCATACAAAAACAGGGAGTGGGTTGTTTTTGTCCTGCAGGACCCCAGCAAAGAATAATTAAACCATTGGGTTTTTCCATTCCAAGCCTTCCCCTATCAGCCCATCATAAGCAATGTTTCAAGGACCACGTTGATGAACAGTCTTTTCCTCTTTTTCCTTCATTCCAACTTACTGTGTCCCAATCACAACTCCAAGTCATTCTCTCTCCTCTTGAATTTTGTGAACTGCACCTTTGTTCAAGTCAGAAACCTGGGAATTATCCTTAACATTTCTCCACCCAACCCCTCAGCACGACATAATAGTAGTTCTCAAATGTAAATGTACACCAGAATAATTTGGGAACTTTTAAAAAAGAAAATAGGTCAGAGAGGAGCCCAGGGTTACAACTCGCCATGGGTGATTCTGAAGGCAACTGTGATGCACGTGAGAGGAACAGGGCTTGAGAAGCACTGCGCTAGAGGCACTGTGCAGGGTAGCGCACATGCATTTAATCCTCGCAGCCCACCTGTGAAGTATGTACCCCAATTTTAGGAATGGGGACAACTGAGCCGATGCCCAGCTAACGAAGCAGTGGCGGGATCCCAGGCACACTCTCTCTGGCTCCACGTTCTGCATCCGTCCACTGCTTCTGGGCAGCTTGCCTGTCGGGGTGCAGGGTTGGGGAGCCACGACCCGCCCCTCTTCTGGGAGGGCCGTAATCCGAAGCAGTTCTACAAAATCTTTCCATCCAGGAAACAGGGAACTCAGGGCTCTCCCGGAACCTTTTCACTCGGGGAGGACAGGAGCGGAGGAACTCTAGACTTGAAAGACCAGGGCTGCAGGGGGACGTTTCACCTGTAGGACTGCCTCGTTTCAACAACAACTTTATGGATCCCGGAAGTACCTCCTCCCCATCCTATTCCTAGCCTCACGCCGGTGGGCTGCAGTTGGAGCGATGGCTGCCGGGCCAGACCACGGGTCTGGACCTGGGGACTCCCCCGAGGGGCCCGAGGCGGAGGCTCCAGAACGTCGGCGGAAGGCGCATGGAATGCTGAAGCTTTACTACGGCCTCTCGGAGGGGGAAGCGGCCGGGCGCCCCGCGGGACCAGACCCTCTGGACCCGACTGATCTCAACGGGGCGCACTTCGACCCGGAAGTGTATCTGGACAAGGTGTGTGTGTGTGTGTGTGTGTGTGTGTGTGTGTGTGTTTAGGGAACCAGGCCTCCGATATATTGCACCCTTAGATCATGCCTCTGTCTTTGTTGTGAGGTGTTCATCAGAGGAGGACGACCCTCGGCCAGGCAGTAGGGGCAGAGCTGGAGTCTAAGGGGGCGTGGGCAGGTTTGAACTGGCCTGAGGTGTTGTGGGATCTGAGGTCTCCTGGGCTGATAGGCCCTGGGGTAGGGGGCGTGGCCCAGTCGCTGACTGGTGCGTAAGCTGAGCCTGAAGATTTTAATATGCTGACAGACCCCAAACAGGGTTGAGCCTAGTAACCCCTGAGCTATGCTGCTTGTAGGACCCATGTATGGAATTCCTAACAGGGGTGGGAGCAGGTTTCCTTGCACCAAAAGACTACTAGTAGGGGGCAAGGCTGGGGGACATGAGTGTCCCTGACCTGAACACTAACCACCCAACTTCTCCAGCTGCGGAGAGAGTGCCCCCTGGCTCAGCTGATGGACAGTGAGACGGACATGGTGCGGCAGATCCGGGCTCTAGACAGCGACATGCAGACCCTGGTCTATGAGAACTACAACAAGTTCATCTCAGCCACAGGTGATCCCCACTGGGACACACCCCTCACAGTCTCACATCCCCCATTCCTCCCTTAGTGCTAAGAAAACCAGCAGGGGATTTAGGGAAAGGAGACCCAGATTCCACTCCTGCCCTGAAATTATTCCACTCTCACTTCTCCCTCTCTGAGCCATCGTGGTCAGACTACCATAGAGGTCATAGCTGCTCTCAGAGGGCTAAGAACCAAAGAGGAGAAAGGACAAAATAAAATGAATTTATCTGAAGCACTTAGTAGAATTCCTGACACCAAGAGGCCTCAGTAAGGTTCTCTTATTAGTGGTAGCTTTCATCTCTGATCCAGGTCTACCTTGAGGGTGGTCGTGTCCTTCCCTTCCTATCTTCCTCCTTCCCCCAATCCTCTCCCTTCTTTTCCTCCTCCCTTCTCTCCCTAATTAAGCAAAGAGAAAATTTATGACATTAAGGAACACAAAGATCATGTAAAGGCTTGTTTCTTTCTGTCCCCTTTCTTCTCTAAGACTAGACAATGTTCAGCTAGCTAGCATTGACATCAGCTTCTGTCCTGCTTTAAGAAAATGCATTGCTCAGACTTTTTAAATAATTTTGGATCCACATGTACTTAGTCCAGGAGGCAGATCTAAAGGGTTTGCCTGCAGCCCATGGAATGTTCTGTGAGCATCTCTGGGGTTGTATTCTAATATCTGATCCTTTCCTAGTGTCACAATAATAGGTGAAGCAATATATACTCTTTGTTCTTTTACTGATTTGCAGCAGGTTCAATGAGTAGGCACCTCTTTATTTGCTAGTACTAGCATTAAAATAGCAAGAAATTATAATTTCTGTGCTGAGAAATTTTTCACAAGAATTTTGCAAA